TGGATTGTAGAAGTACATATTGCAGAACAGTGAAGGGCATAAAGTGGTTTCCAGGAAATGACTTTTTAGACTCTTTCAGTCTTGACACATCAGCAGGTTAGCATATGGTTATATTGGTGAGTCCTGTTATACAGTGGGATACAATATGCCAAAGCTAGCATTGCAATTTTTAGAGCCAGTGGGGAGTTTAGACTCCCAAAGACTGAACAGATTTGGTAATTCTATCAAAGAGTCTGTAGAAAATCGTAGACAACATAAAGTTCTTGTTATTAGATATTCTTTTGGTCACATGGATATATCCTCAGCATATGAATACATACATGCTGCTCCCTAGCTAATATGTATACCAGCTCATCCTACAGTCCTTGCACACAGAGCCTCGCATATGATCTTTTAAGCAGACCAACCAAGTGCGGGGCTTCATCCTTTGAGGAAATGTCAGGGCGTCTTTCATTTTCTGATTTCACTGAAGGTGCTAGAAATTCTCAAGATCCGGGAGGAAGAAGCAGCCGCCAGCAAACTGACAGTTTCCATGTACGATACAGAGAGGAATGAAAAGAGCAAACAACAGCGAGAGACAATGGTAGGCAGCGGTGTCTAATAACAAACTAACAATTTTTCATCCCACCTTCTATCTCTTGTACTAAAGGCAGGTTTTAGTAAGAACCATGGGATAAGCCTACTCTGTTTGAGTGGATCAGCAAAATCCAGTTCAAGTTTTTTTAGCAGGGTTGGATTCAGAGTTCATTACCAGCGGGCAAAGAAATCCAGCTCAAATTCGTCCCTTCTCAGGGACTCTCTCCAGAGCCCATTCTAGTACCATTAAAACTCCCTGGGTGAGATCCTTGGCTGCTGTCAATCGTCAGACCTCCGCTGATTTCCATGGAGCTACAACCATTTATATTAGTTGAAGGTCTGGCTCCTTGTGCCTGTGACTTTCTGGAAGACCCATGTCCAAAAAAATCACAACTTTATTTTGTTTAATACAATAAATAAAATAATGAAGAATGATTACACTAATTGTAGTTGGAGCTGTGGGAGGAGTTTGATAATTGTATCTAAATCTGCTCCATAGCCAGGGTTCATTTGGTTGGGAAAATATCAACCTCTTCCCCTGCCTCCGGAAATTTCCATGACTTGCATCTGAAGAAGTGAGGTTCTTACCCACGAAAGCTTATGCTCCCAATACTTCTGTTAGTC